CATATTGGATTATTTTCTCTCTTTTGAATACTCAGAAGTTTTTCCTTCTAGCATATAAGTTACAAAACCGAATCGACGCCGAGAGTCTCGCCAGAGTACCATTAGATAAACAATGATTTCATATGTATATAGAACAGAGTGCTCTTTGTCTTTTGGTGACGTTTTCGGTTTCGTCTTTGTGAATAGTCTTCAGTCTCCTGGAGCAATCAGGAGAGTAAAGACGGTCCTTCCTCGTACATCAAATTAATAAACTAAAAGGGATAAGTTTAATTCACTGCGTTTTACTTTTATTTATCTACCCATTTCCAATAGTGCACTTACGCAAATATTTCGTCTATGGAATTATAATGATTAGACTGTGTATTTGATGCATTTATTTATTTATCACTAAAGGGGAAGTTATATATTTTTATTTACCTCCTGTTTCATAAAATTGATGCAGGAAATTTTGGTAAACCTTATGTTTATAGGAAAGTTAAGCATCGATAACCCTGTTGAGTGACATTCCAGAGGTTTTATTCGTCGCTCGCTTTGTATTGAACACTAATTTAGGGAAAATAAATTAACAAACAAATGTAGTTTTTTGTGCTATTAAAGTTCTCGTAAAATATCTTCATTGAAATAATATAATTCTCTTTCATTCAATTACTGTGGCTACATTTAATTTTATTATAACTTGTTGACTGTACCATATTTCAGCATAGCTATTCATCCAAACAAATTGGTAGTTGCTACTGGTCAAGTATGTGGAACTGACAGACGAGATGCCATGGTAAGAATTTGAGCAATAAAACACGCGCGCGCGCGCGCTATCATTATACAATTTACAGCATTTTATTTAACTAATTGTCAAATTGTGTAAACAAGCAATACATTGCAATTTTTATTTTTACATAGAATTACATATGGTTCCTCACTGTGATATTTATTTTGATTTATATTCACTTACGCTGTAACTTATTTATTTACATTCACTATTCGGTGATTTTACATTGTATATTGCATTGTATTTTACATTTTACAGTGTAAATTGTCTGTTGAAGTATTTTAAATGTCAAGCCGAGAGTAATATCACACTCATACGAGTTGTAATGCTCAGTGGCGGATTAAGATGTAATGGGGCCCTAGGCGCAATATAAAATTGAGGCCCCCAATATTATACAACATACATTCTATGACGATTAGATCTATTATTAAAATAGAAATACAATTTTATTTGTTATATTAAAAAAATAAAATAAAATTTGGCTTTTGGGACATAATTGTATGTTGCTTTCAGCCTCATATAAGAATATGGAATTCGGTTAGTTTAACCACACTGTGCGTGATTGGTAACGGTGGCTTCGACGGTTCCATTTGTTGCCTCTCGTTCTCAAAAGCAGACGGTGGAAATTATTTGTGTGCGATCGATGAGACATCGGATCACAACATTTCGATCTGGGACTGGCAGAAAGGGGAACGGGGTACCAAAGTAACCGAAACTAAGGTATGTTTCAACTAACATGTACTATAGCTTTCTAGTATAATATTTAAATGATAAAACTAATTTTGTTATTGTTATTCACCTCCAAAAGATAGACATCAGCCTAATGCATGTAAAAATTACTTTGTTTCGAGGGGATGTTTTACGGTGATCATCAGGTTTCTCTAGGTGTAGATATTTTCGAGACTTTAAGGCGAACTTTGTTTTTTTTTTAAATGGAACTACAGTAATGCACGATTAAAACTGACTGAAACACGGTTGGACAAAGTAAAATAATAAATATAACGAGGGGAAGCGAGAGAGATGTAATACGTCGAATAACGACGGACAACCCTATATATGTATATCTAAATGAAAACTATGTATTCTTAAGTTTATGTACTTAAATTGTAACATAAAACAATTTACTAAGCAGTTCCATGACTATTATGAATAAATTATGTTCTACGATGCACCTGGGTCACAAGGAACAATATAATAGAATTTCATGAGAATACTGAATGATGCAATGAATATTTCCAGTTTCTGTAATATAAAATACCGCAATCAGAAATAGCGATGAATTATGTAAAAAATGTTAACGTATTTTTTCCAGTGTTCTGTTGATACTGTCGTATGCGCTGAATGGCATCCGCTAGAACGAAATCAGATTGTTTCTTGCGGTAAGGGTCACGTGTCCTTTTGGTCCCTTGATAACGGTGGCATGCTGTACAAACGAATGGGTATTTTCGAAAGCCGAGAAAAGCCGAGATACGTAACCTGTGTGGCATTCAACCAAAATGGTGATGTTCTTACCGGTGACAGCAACGGTAACATTATCGTCTGGGGCAGAGGTGAGAAGTTGAGAGTGATTCTCAATATTTTTTGTTATTATTTATAAAAATCGCATTATTATTAATATGTTTACATATTTCCTTAAGAATTCCAAAATTTATTAATCTTGCAATTCTTACTATATTCAAGACTGAATTTGTTGTACGGTTTAATATCAAAAATATTTTTCCTTAGGTATGAATACGATTTCTAAGCTAGTCAGGAACATTCACGAAGGATCTATATTCTCAATTTGCGTTCTGAAGGATGGTTTTATCGTCACTGGTGGTGGCAAAGATGGGAAAATATTATACTTTGACGAATCTTTGAATTTGACTGGAGAGGAAGCACAAGTAAGCTTTAAAAAAATCTGCATTGATTCTTATTTTTAACTGTTCCAGTGTTACTTTAATTTTCGAATATTCTAAATTCATTAAACAATACAAAGTAATTACTTTTTCTGATTGTCAGCGTATGAAAAAAAATAGTTGAAGATTGCACAATTAAGAATTAAAATCATAAAACACGAGTCTGATTACTAGACTAGATCCATTTTACATAAGATTCTGATTTCTTATTCATTTCCGAAGCTTTTTTATTTTGTTTTGAAAGTTGTTTTATTTCCAAAACATTTTTTCTATACAGAAGCTTTTAGCAATCTGATTGAACAATTTCTAATAAAGTAACATCTAATAAATAATGTAGTCATTTTACACTTTGTACTTCTAAAGTTTTTCATTTACTGTTACCATATTTTTTGACAATGTTAATGTTAAATTTTATTTCTTCAGATAGAGGACCACTTTGGAGGAATCCGTACACTTGCAGAGGGCAAAGGTTCACAGCTGTTAATTGGAACAACAAGAAATTGTATTTTAGTCGGTGATGTGGGAATGGGTTTCAATCCAGCCATGTTAGGCCATGCTGAGGAAGTTTGGGGTCTTGCAGCACACCCTACTTTACCACAATTTGCTACAGCCGGTCACGACAGGTTGTTGCAAATGTGGGACAGCCTTAGTCACACGGTTGTTTGGAGTAAAGATATTGGGGTTAGTGTGAACGAATTCGTCAAAGAGTGATGTCATTATTGCTAATAATTTAGTTGTGTCTGTTGTGAGGTTGCAAGAAAAAAGGACACATGTCACTTTCACTTTTGAGATATTATTCTTTAGTGTCCTCAATACTGTTTATTTTGATTGGCTGTTTCCTTATCTTCGTTGTATGGTATAACTGTATATTATCTTGATCATACAATTTATGTGAATAATAATATAGATTTTAAGCAACATATGCTATAGGTTTACTAGACTTTGATTCATTCACTATATTTATTATACATGTTTAAGAAATACGAACAAAATAACTACGATATTGTTAAAAAAACAGAAGAAATAAATACGTACATATTTTAAATTTTTTAATGATGAAAACAAATTTTATGAGCAAGTTGGTATTTAAGTTACCAAACAAAAGGGCATATAACAAAATGGCACATGTTTTGTGGATGAGATAAATTTTATGCCAAACTAGCATATAGTATCATTTCTACAACGAGATGCGAGCGGCCTTAATTACTGAAACTAATTTAAAACTATTTGCATCATAGGGAGTACTATATTTAAAAATAATAGTCTATTGTTTGATAGTGATTGTAAAAATTGTTTAGAATAATCTTGAAATACATTCAAAGAGAAGTGTGGAAGAATGAATTTGGAATATGAACAATATATGTAAGTAATATGATTTTGTTTTGTTTAGGAACAAGCCCAAAGTCTCGGCTTCTCACCAGATGGTAATGTTATTGTAGTTGGATGTACATCTGGAAAATGGTTAGCGATCGACAGTGAGACTAGAGAATTGTATACGCATCATAGTGACGGAACAGAACCTATTCAGGTGCAATACTTATTCAGAAGTTATTAATAATGATGATAATAATAATAATAATACATACTTTATTTTAGCCTCATGGCTAAGAAATTAGACTTGCTTTACATAAACCTCATCAGTATAATTCTATCTTTATTTATTTTATTATTAATTATATTAATAATTTATAATTGTATAATATTTTTTTCTTTATTTATTTATCATTATTATTATTTATTTTCACTTATCTTTATCATATTTCTTGTTTCCGTATATATTTCCTTTATTCTCAATACGAAATTACTTTTCGATTTTTTCGATGTTTTTAATTTTTTACAAGCAGGATTTTCAACTTACAAATCAGAAATGAATTGCAGAGTATGTACCTAGGTATTTGACATGAGTTAGATTGTTTAAGATTTATTGCATCCTGTTAAATAGCGAAAGTGAATTAAAAAGCTTTTTCTATTTCACCCTGTAGATTTAATTTGGTTCAAGGGCACTTTTGACTCTTCTTATTAAGCAAACCACTCAGAATTTTGAAATATTTTTTTTCCTTCCTACGAGCAAATTGTAAATTACTTTTCTTTGAATAACAAATTACTATAAGTCAATAACTCTCTATATTTTCATAATTAATAATGTTTCTTTGTGTTAATGTTATTTATTTTCAGGTCGCACGATTTTCACCAGACGGCACGCTACTGGCTCTCGGATCCAGGGACAATTACATTTATATTTATCAAGTAAACGGTGATGCAACTAAATACAGCCGTGTTGGACGATGTATGGTAAGAATTTCTACTATATTATCAGTATTTAACACGCGTTTTAACAAAAGTTTTTACTAAATTCATTGTGCAACCGAAAACTCCATACCGCCTCTTTAGAGAAAATGAAAATTTTCAAAAACTGTGGTTGATAAAGAAACCAGCATTTAGATTTATTCTCAGCATATAGAAATTTTCCAGAAAGGCCTATTTGTCGTTGAAATACGATCTAATTATTGGACAATGTAATCAAAATAGTTAGAAAATGTGAACAATTCGTGTTTAATCTCTTGTGAATTTCTAGATCAATTAATCTATTCTCGGTTCCACAATGACACATATTTTTAATTAATAAACAGTTTCAAAATAGAAATTAGATTATACAAGAGGAAAAGAGCTTATAAATAATATGCTAATAAATAGTAAGCAAATGAAATGAGCACACTATTTTGGGTGTGTTAAATACAGTTTCATAAAAGTCATTTCAATGAATTATTAAATACCATACAAAAAATTGTATATCTCGCTAGCAAATTATACGACGAACACAAAAAAGTAACGTTTTGATGCTAATTAGAAGAATACATAATAAAAATCTAGTTTCCTATTAAAATATTTCGATGCGAATTTGGTAGAACGTCTCAAGGTCATTGCAAAGTTAAATAAATAAAACTATGACATGCTACCTGCTGATTTTATTTGCTTACACAACATATGATTTTCATCTGTAATATTTTCATCTTAGAACAGACCTTACATAAAAGTGGTTCCTTATACATAACAAATTAGAAAAATATGGTGTTGCTTGTATTCATAATGTGACATTTATGTAAAAATACGCAAAATTATTGTAACCCACAATTTGCTTGTGCATCGGTACTATGCTATTGGGTTGTCCTTCAGTTTATAGAGAACAAATAAAAATAACCAATGTGTGGAAACGAGTCAAAGGCTCAATAGCATGTAGCATAATTTATTGAATTTATCAAGTTTGATAAATACCTTATTTATGACAGTAGTATCTTGATACTGCTATTCGTCTTTATTCTCGCACACACGGGTTTCAAATTAAGTGGTTATTCTTCCTGTACAGTTGATCGTTCAAATAATTGTTATATGATGCTACTTAACATTTTCATTTACATCTCTCAGTGTACATTACATATCATCGTTCGTAACTCATAATAGATATAAAATTGGCAAAATAGTTTTTCCTCCGTAACGTTGCCCAAGTTTCGACTGAAATTATTAACATTTGCTGCTGCAAAACTGTAATAATACTGTAGGTAGAGGAAAAGCTGTATGAGCATGCTAGTATGTATGTATAATAGCGTAATTTTACTATAAATGTCTTTTCAATATGATCCATATTTCTTTTTAAATTAACAAGTAAATACATAATCTGTGTGTTGAATAAACGTAAAATTTATTTAAGTTTATTACATGTTGTTATACGCTAAAAAGTAAAAGTTATGAATTTTTATTTATCATAATCCTGTGTCTCCATAAAAGCTTATACGTATAAATATTACAGAAACGTGTTTTGAAAAGGCAATATCTGTGCTGAAATAAGTTTCCGTTCTTAACTCCAACTCAATAAAATATATATTTAAAGAAAAATAATAGAATGTATGATATGGAAATCATGCTGATAATATATGATATTAAGAATATACATATGTAATATGAAACCGTGATAGTTATAAATATTACTTAATATTTTTTTCTATATTTTTAGCCAAAGCGGATACGAAGACGTAGAGTAAGACATACTTACATTTTTGTTGCTAAATAACGAAAAAAGCCATTATGTTAGGCAACGAATACTGTTTCTTAAAATTATCACAAACTTCTGTCCAAATTATATAACATCACATCACAATTATTGTATTATGTCACAAATATTGTGCAATTTGTACAGTTCAACACACTGAGAATGTGAACAAGAATGCATCCTGTGTTGATCAGTACTAATCATGCTTCTTAAAATGCAATTTGTGACTTTTGATTTACTAGGGTCTTCTCCAAGGTGTTATGGTATAAGGCACAGGACAAACGCAATTTAAACATTCAAATAACACTTCAAATTTATCATGTTTTTTTTTCTATGGGAACTAATACATTCTGATTTCACTTATTAAAATTAGAAATATAATAAATAAACAATACTTAAATCTTAAAATCATTGCAGTTAAGAATACCTCTTATGGAACATATGTACCTTCAAAAATTGAATCTTTAAAAATAATCTTAAGAAACTGTTCGCTATAGATTTCTTTTTATTCCTATATAAATGCCTTGCACTGCTGTAATATTTATTATGCACGACTACATATTATAAACCATCAGAGTCTTCGACTATAGATAGTTTTGTTAAATTCTGTCAGATTATTGGCAGCGTAATGTTTCTGAAAATGATGCAACATTATTGTTCACATACTGGCTAATGTTTTTATTTCTAGACAGCATGCACAGTATTCATTATTTGCACTAGCTGTTAGCACTTAGCCTGTAGCGATAGCTAAAACGTCATTTGTTTCGTTGGAGTCTGAATAAAAGTTGTATATTTATTCCTTTTCGTTGAAATAAATGTATATAAAATGTGTAAAGTTAGAAGCTAATTTCCTGAAGCTAATGAATATTAAAACATATTTCAGGGTCATTCAAGTTTCATAACTCATATCGACTGGTCGGTGGATGGACAATACTTGCGGAGTAACAGCGGAGATTATGAACTGTTATATTGTAAGTAATTTTATAGTAAGTTAGATTGAATGTATAGCGTGTTAAGAAATTATATTTCATGACCGTTACAACATTTACCGTTATAAACGTTACAATCTTTGGAACGCTGAAGACTTCATAAAAATAGTTGCCGCAAGATTAATCTCGAGTATGGTTTTCAAGGTCAAATTTTTTATTGTTACATTGTATAGTACTCGTTAGGAGGAACAATAAAACAATATATTTTTATATGTTTATTTATGTTATTTATATTTATATTTTCGCGAAATCACTAACTCGTCAATATTGACGTATTTACGAGCAATTCGGGACAAATCATTTGAGACATTGCACAGCAAAGTAATACATTAATTTTATCCTAATTCATAATTTTTATTATAATTTATATTTCCAAAATTCATCATTCCTTTTTCATAATTTATATTATCATTCGAGATAAGTTTACCTTATTTTTCGTCACTTGTTTAAGAAAGAAATACGTCATTCTTTAAAAAAAAAAATAAGTCTGTATTATTTGTTGTATTTCCTTCGCAAAAATCAGTATTTCTTCATTTCTTCGCCAAAATCAGTTGTAAAACTATTCGTTATGATTTTTTACTGCGTATAGAAAAATCTAAAGCGGAATTTTCCTCAAAAATCGCCGCCCTAAGTTGTAGCCTATTTAGCCTATTACCTAAATCCGCCTCTGGTAGCATGAGTCAGAAATAGAAAAATTGTTTAACCCCTTGCCTTACCATTTTCTTCATAGTTACAATAATTAGAAGTTTCTCAATTGTAATACTTTCTAAGAAGAGGAAAGCTTATTTATATTTACTGTGTGTCTATATTTACTTAAATGTTTATTTCTGATGACAAGAAAGAGTTCTCTTCAGTTCTCTTCAGACTGAAGAGAATGGAATAGCATTCGTATTTAACAGGATATTATCAGAAATCTCCGCCATGTGTCAGACTCATCAAAGTATGGCAAGGAGTTAATTAAACGAAGCATTTAACAATATTGTTCTACTATTTTAATATGAAATCGTTTAAAAATGTTGCAGGGAACCCAGGAGTTTGTAGGCAAATTCCACAGCCTTCGATGTTAAGGGACGTTCAATGGGCAACCCACACTTGTATTATATCCTTCGAAACAATTGGTATATGGCCAGAAGGCGCAGACGGCACTGATATAAATAATTGCTCTCGTAGCGGCGATTCGAAGCTTCTAGTAACTGGAGATGACTTTGGCAAAGTCAAATTGTTTTCATATCCAGCTTGTCAATCAAAGGTATGTAATGCTATCGTTAGCAATCTAAATAGCATAAATACTTCAAAGTGGATATTCTAACTCCAACAGCATATATTTAAATCTTTCCAACAATTTTTCTTAGACAAATAAAAGACTTTGAAATAAATGAAATTTGTTTGTTTCAGTCTCTTTGTCATACATACGGTGGTCACTCGAGTCACGTCACGAATGTATCATTCCTTCATGACGATACACGATTAATTTCTACGGGTGGAAATGACACAGGCGTTTTACAATGGATTGTAAATTACTAACTCTCTTCAATTGGTGAAATTCAACATCGTGTTGACTTATCTTTGAAGGGTCTCTGATGATCACATGGTTGAGAAATCAACTAAATAAATAAGACGAATGTAAAACCAGAAATGAAATTATGATTATTGACTATGCACATTAAGTTTACCAAAAAGTTCTGTCCGTTTATGAAGTGAAAGAAAAAAATAAATTTTTCATATATTTAATAACAATGTAATTTCCGTTGTTACTTATGACCTCTTGCCAGCGTGACGGCAATTTGTAAATACCATTTTTGAAAAATATATGTCTCAAATGAACATGTGCATACATATTGAAACTTTAAATGACATTATCGGAAAGAACTTTTTGGTAGACCTAATAGTTCTAAAAAGTTATGCAAACGATAAAAAAAAATTAATTCGAAAGGAAATTATAAATCTTTAATATAGGTTACGTACCATTCATGACTACGAGTGAAAAAAACTAATTGTAAGATAGTTATATAACGTGAACATTATCATTATTTTCCTCCCAAACGTAACTTTTGCGAGTATCCATTATCGTGAAATGCGTACGATAAGCAGTAAAATGTTCGTTATAATTGAACAGTTAATAAATTGAGAAGATTTCTATTTAAGAATGTAACAGGGTAATTGAAGGAAAAATTGAAAATGTCCAGTCAGTTGAATTTCTGTTAAAGCTACTCCATAATGAACAACAAAGTGCAAACAAGTTACTTTAACTAAAGAAATCTTATAATAATTTTTAGACATTCTTATGAGAATGCAAACAAGAAACGAATTATGCAAGAAAGTCCTTAGATTGAACACTATAAAACTGATCAGTGGATACTGGGTACAATTATGAAATTACTTGTTACCTGTACCAATTAAGTATCTATCATCAACAAAAAAGTGAAGTCTTGTTGCTATTTCATATTTACAGGTGATTGCCACATAAATCATTCGTTACTAATAATAAGAGAGGCAATGTCAAAGTGAGAAAGTTAAAAATGAAGATATCCAAAAGTTTGCAGTGAAGAGTGCAAATTATGTTTCAATATTTCTTCAATAATGCATAGTGAAGCTGTCCTTTATGTATTCATTGTGTTAATAATTATCATCCAAGCGTTGGAGTGTAAGAAACTGATGTGTCCTTTGTGTAATAATCATTAACAATAAGTGCTATCTAATACTATCAGGCTATTAATCAAAAGATTGGGAAGATGTATTCATAAGAAAAGCAGAAAGATATGTATTTTGTATAAACATTTCTCTTTCACTCTCTTGTTTAATTCTATATATGTATATATAGAATATATCAGAAAAAGAGAGAGAGAGAATTCTCTATATGTAGAGGATATACATATATTGAGAATGTGAAAGCAATTTTCTTTCATTGTTTTCTATGAATGTAGCCTACAAGTTTGTCACCAGTAGAAGTTGCCAATTAGAAATTATGAAAACTATGAGGGCATGATAGAATAGTAGTAATAAAATAAATGACTCAAGACGAATTCTC